GTGTATGTTTGGGGCATTAAATATTTACCTTTATCTTGTTGAATTGTTCCCCTTACCAGTATGTAGCGGTGACCTTTTGTGTCCCGTCTAATTTTGCTTGCCTTTGGATTCCCATTTGTAATTATGTATAATTTTCCATCCTTTTACTTTCAGTCTGGATGTCTTTGCCTGTGAGGTGTGTTTTGCAGGCAAAATGCAATTGTATCTTGTTTTTTAATTCAGTCTGTCAGTCTATGCCTATGAATTGAAGATTTGAGAGTATTTGCATTGTTTTTATAGAGAGGTATGTATTATTTCCTGACATTTTGTCTTAATGTTTGATTTGATCCTAATTCTCATTTGCCTATTTCTTCTTCTAATGAGATTTATTTCTCTTTTTTTTAAATTATTTTTTTAGTTGTAATTGGACACAATATCTTTATTTTATTTATTTATGTGGTGCCGAGGATTGAACCCAGGGCCTGGCACTTCCTAGGCGAGCGCTCTACCGCTGAGCCCCAGCCCCCAACGTGGCTTCTTTTTTTTCTTTTGAGAGAGAGAGAGAGAGAGAGAGAGAATATTTTAATATTTATTTCTTAGTTTTCGGCCGACACAACATCTTTGTTTGTATGTGGTGCTGAGGATTGAACCCAGGCCGCACGCATGCCAGGCGAGCGCGCTACCGCCTGAGCCACATCCCCAGCCCCGAGATTTATTCCTCTTGATCTCTCTTGGTTGTTTTTATCTTCTTGTGTGTATAGAATTTCTTTAAATATTCTCTGCAGTGTTCTGTAGAAGTCAAGAATTTTTTTAGTTTATGCTTATCTTGGAATTTTAAAATTTCTCCTTTGATTCTGATTTAAAATTTCTCCGTTGATGCTGATTGTGGCAGTCTAGCTTGGCTGTTATTTTCTCTGAGGACTTGAAATACAAGTCCTCCTGGCCTTTAGGATTTCTGTGAAAAACCTGCTGTTATTCTGATTGGTTTGGAGTTTCTCTCTTGCAGCTTTAAAAATTCTTTCTTTGTTCTTGTTTTTTTTTTTTTTCATTTTAACTATAATGTGTCTCAGACTATTTTTTGGTTTTGTCTATTTGAGGTTCTAAATGCCTCCAACATCTGAATGTTCATCTCATTTCCCAGGTTTGGAAGATTTTCTATTGTCAGTGTCATTAGCCTGTTTCTCTCCTTTAATACCTATAAGCCTTAAGTTAACTTTCTTAATGTTGTCCCAGAATTCTTGTATATTGTGATCACAGTTTCTTATTACTTTTTGTCTTTTACCATCTGAATATAGAATTTTTTGCACTATTTTTTAAGAATATCTCTTTATTGAAATGCTCTTTCATATCCTTTATTTTTATCCCTTAGTTTATTTTTTAGATTTAAAAAACTAATTGATAATTCTAGTAGCCAACTTTTTGAATTATTTTTTCTGTTTCTGTACTGAGATTGGTCCATCTTCTAGAGTGGATCTATTCCACTGTTATTCGAGGGTCTGTTTAGTGAAGAGCTTTCTGTTATACTTTGTCTTCTGTGCCAGGGCTACATCTCTGTGTGAAAGCACCCACTCAGCCTGTTCATGGTGCTGCATCATCAGTCCTGTAGACTGGGTGCTGGTGTGGTCCATTTCTGCTTTTCTTCTTCTGACTTCTAATAAATCACTAGTCTTTGTTTCACCTGAATGCTGACTCTCTGAGTTGGGTTCCAGCATTTCCCCCCCGCGCTCTTGTCTCATTATTAAGTTGTGCTATGGATCCAATTCAGTATACATCATATAGTACTTGTCTGTTGGTTTTGGGTTTTGTTTGTTTTTTGTCTAAGCAGTATGATTTTTTTTTTTGGAGGGGAGCACTACTGGGGACTGAATTCAGGGGCACTCAACCACTGAGCCACATCTCCAGCCCCTATTTTGCATTTTATTTAGAGACTCACTGAGACTTATTTAAGGTCTCACTGAGTTGCTTAGCGCCTTGCCATTGCTGAGGATGACTTTGAATTCACAATCCTCCTGCCTCAGCCTCCCAAGCCGCTAGGATTACAGGTGTGTGCCACCTCGCCTGGCAGCAATTTGATTTTAAAAAAGAATTGATTTTTATATTTGCATATGTTTCAGTGGTTCACAAATAAAAAAGTTCTCCATCAAGTATTTCCAATCTGGCTTTTCTTTTAATACCAATTTATAACAAATTCACAATTATACAATATTTATATCTGATCTTTACTAATCTTTTATTTTTCTTGTGTAATTGCATTTGTTTTATATAAGATATTCATAGCTCATTTGGATTTCACTTAAATTAGAACTGATAATTTAGATTATTTACATTTTAAAACTTTAGAAATTTATATAACTTTTGAAGCTTGTATTTATTTTAGAAAGGATGTATTTTATTTAAATCAGAATCATTTACTTTTAAATGATTGCCATTTTCTTTTTTGTTTTAATTCTTTATATCTATCACTTTACAATGCATATTTGTGAATTTTTCCAGACCTCTCAGATGGATATTAACAATAATATTTAATCCCACATAATAAATCCTGGCCTATTGATGAAATATTTATGGCTCAGTAAACTGAGAGATGTTTAATTATCCTGGTGCATTCGAGATAGTCATCATTTCCAGCAAGATTGGAAGGAGTTCTGTTTGGTGTGTCTTTCGCCAAGCCTAGAACTATAGAGCTGCGAGGAAGCAGAGGAGCAGTGGGGAGACTGCCTCTGCACTGCAGCCCTGTATTACCTTGGTGCTCTTGAAGGGAGTAGCTGAGTCTGTAGAAGAGGAGACTAACGTAGAGCACAATTGGAGAGTAGGTTCCACATTGCCAATTGAATTACTGATTTTAACACATTTTGGTGGAAGCTGTTTGGGTAGTTTTCCAGTTTCTTAAGCAATCCTATAGTCAATATAGAGTTCTATACTTGTAGAGTTTTGTATAACTTAAACTGCAGATGTTAAAAGTATTTGAATTGAAGATAATGAGCTTGGCATTACTCTATATTTTAAGAAGATGAAGTTTAGTGATGCAACCAATACATTTAACATGTTTACTTGCACAGAATCTAATCTGTGTGTCTTGGCACCCTTCATAGACATGAATAAGATAGACAAGGGCTTCCAGTTGGTCAAAGTAAATAATAGATTAGAAAACAGACAACTTAATTTTAGATTCTTCATAGCACTGTGACAAAATAAAATCAGGAAAGACTTCTATTAACAGGTGACATATTAGGAGCAGAAGAGGAAAAGGAACCAGTTTTATAAAACTCTGAGGGTAGAAGTCCAGAGAAAGGGATCACAAGTCCAAGTGCCCTGGGGGAATCAGAAGAAACAGAAGTCTCTCTGGCTAAGGTTAGGGAAGGACATAGAGAGTGTTTTACATGAAGGACAGAGAGGAGCCAGTGGAGCCAGGTCATGGTAGGAGGTTGGATTTTATCTATATGTGATACTATCCAGTACAGGATCGGGTGACTAGGGTGGTTACCTGATCTGATTTAGTACTGTAAAAGATTATTTGGCTCTGGAGATACTGGAGAGTCAAAAGAGTAGAAACAGAAAAGCCAATTGGTGCTACTTGTAGTCATCCAGAGGAGACATAAATGGTGGCTTTGACTAGAATATCTGAGATGCAGGTGATAAGAGGTGGCCAGAATCAGTATATTTTGAAGACAGAATCCACATGATTTACTGATGGATTGGTCATAGGGAAGAGAGAAAAAGAATGAATGACTCATAGATTTGGGATCATAGTGATGCACTGAACTGAGATGAGCAGAACCAAGTAAAGGAGTACCTTTCAAGGGGTTGGGTGGTCTCATATTTGCTTGTATCCATATATTTTCTTGGTTGAATCTTGAAAGCATATTAGTTCTAGGGATAGTAAGATTTACTGTGTTTATTTGGCTTGGATTTAGAAATATTTTGAATTTGGGGAGGTAACAGTCTTTCAAAGATTTAAATTTGAACTAAAAATACACAGAATATTCCATTAAATATTATATTTCTTCTAAATTTCAAGCATCCACTGATTCTAAAAGTGAACAAAAGAAAGAAAGCCTTCAAGAAACAAATGTAGAAACATGCATTAGAAATGTATTTAGGTTTTACTTAAAACTCTCAGATTCAACAAGTCATTTAGCTGGGCAAGTAGGGTGAAAATTCTGTGCCAAGATCTTTCCGGATTTAAATTATAACCATGCCACGCCAAGGCATTGCAGCGAACACCATGGCAACTTCTTTGTTGAGGCAGCCCTTGTCTATGCCAACAAACAGAGGAAACATGGTGTGAGAGCATAGTATTTCCCTCTCTTGTTTAGGGAAAACATGTATCAGATTTGCATGTAGATACGGGAACAAGTTATATGTCTCATACAGCTGAACATGTTTGCAGGTAAATGGGCATAATAGTAGTTATTCTTTCTGAAACTTATTAGCTTTTGAATGTTCTCAAATTTGCTCTATTTAACTATCTTTAACCTGCTAAGTTCATATTCTTTGAGAATTCCAGCATAATGAATAATGTGACACTGTAGATCAGTTTAATTTTATGCTTCTTGAATTTTGCATCAACTGTTTTGCCTAATGAAGAGTGAAACCTGAACTTAAGTATATTTTTTTTTTTAAAGAAAGAGTGAGAGAGGAGAGAGAGGGGAGAGAGAGAGAATTTTTTTTTTTTTAATATTTATTCTTTAGTTCTCGGCGGACACAACATCTTTGTTGGTATGTGGTGCTGAGGATCGAACCCGGGCCACACGCATGCCAGGCGAGCGCGCTACCGCTTGAGCCACATCCCCAGCCCTTAAGTATATTTGCTTAAAATAATTTTAGAGGATTATAGGGTATCTCTTTAATAAAAAATTATCTTAGAGTGTTTTGAAAATTATTTTTCTTTCAAGATTTGGATTTTTTATTATAAATATTAGATTTTTAAAAATATTTATTATCAGATTATATCATTGTTTTTGTTTTGAAAATTTAAATTAAAGTTAACTGTATCTTCATCTTTCTTTTTCTTTTGGCAGAGAAATTGCTTTTACAAGGCAACTTCAGGAGAAAACATCTCAACTGCGCTACTACTATATGGGTTTTTACATACATTCATGTCCCAAGATGAAATATAAGGTAAAGTTAATTTGTGTATGTGTGTCTGTTTTCATTATATAAAAATGAATCTTTAATAAAATTTTTATCTCAAGGCACAGGATTTGGAGCTTTGAAGGAGGGATGAATGGGTTAATAAGTAAATCTCTTTGCTGCTTCAAAAAGTAAACTTTCTATAATGAGAACCACAGTTTCTACTGCTCTTACTTTATAATACATTATGAGATTTAAGCATATTTCAGAATTTCCTTTAAAAAAGGGTTTTATGATTCTTGTTAGTGAAACTCTTTGATGTTTGCTACGTACTAGTGGAGGATTGAGCAGTGCAGGGAACAGATTCTTCCTCCACCCGCGGTGACCACCACCACTACCACCAGCACAGTTGGTGTTATTAGCTCTGCAGGTGCAGGAAGATGCACGCATGAATCTTCCACCTAGAACTTGTGGTCTAGGTGGAGCTGGGGGTATTTAACATAAAACCAGGTGTTGCTTTGGTGGGTGAGTGGCCTGGGAGGATGTGGGGTTTTGCTCCACACGGTGTGGAAGAGGAGAAAAGGAAGGGCTCAAGACGAGGGAAGGTTTGGGCTGACAGTATAGCTCAGTTGGTAGAGTGCTTGCCTCACATGCATAAAGCCCTGGGTTCAATCCCCAGCACCATCACCACCAAAAAAAAAAAAAAAAGAGGGAAGGTATGATGGAGAAGCATGAAGGAGCCAGTAACAGTGCCTGTGATGTACTCATAGGAGGGAGAGTAATGAGGAGTAGGAAGGACCCTGAAATGTGGTCCAAGGAACACAGGCAACTGGGAATCTTGATGGGTCACACGTCAGAGAGCTGTATAAATAAAATGTATAAATTGTCCACATGCAGAAATATGATTTTTTAAATCATAAGAATTTTTAAAACATGCCGAAATAAATAAAAAGTATCCTGGAGCCCCTGTGTGCCCATTATCTGGCTTCAGCAATTATTCACACATTTTTTTCATTGTTCCTTTATCCCATCCTCATCTCTACCTTCTTATGAATTCATCTGAACCAAATCAAAGAGATCTTTTCATTTGTAAATATTTTAGTGTGTATTTATTTCTAAATTGTAAGGGTGCTTTTCACACCTAAAAAGTATTAACAATGTTTCCAAATGTCATCAATGTTCATATTTCCCTTATCAATGTTCATATTTCCTTAGTTGTTTCATAATGCTTTTCACAGTAAATTTGTTTGGTTTAGGATTCAAACAAAGGACATACATTATATTTGGTTGATATATCTCTTAAATTCCCTGCCCCCCCATTCTTCAAAGGAATAATTCATATAACTTAGTGTTTGTTCACATGATCATGGTTTTAAAGATTTGAAGTTAAGTGACTGATGGTTCCATTTTCAGAAATTATGGATTCTAAAAGTAAGGCTGGCTTTGAGAGAAGGATGAACATAGAGCATTGAACTTTGCTGGGTTTTGACAGTCCACTGTAGTAGTCTGATCAAGGTGTCCCACAGGTATTTGGGAGTTCTCTCTTGAGCTCATATTTAAGCATACATTGTAGGTAGATAGCTTTTGGATTCGGTTGTCTTCAAAAATGATCTGTATACCTGATTATTGTTTTACTTGATAGGCTTAAACAAATGTTCTGTGCAGAAGGAAAAACATGACTATATCTCTGTTTGCCCCCAAACACTTAACTTGCTACTAATTTTATTAGTATTTTCTCTTAGCTTACTATACTTGTTACAGTACCAAATCTAACTTAGTTCAGGAGAGAAAACTCAAATATTCATATATTTTAATACAATTACAAGCCTCAGGGAAAGCTCTGGCTGCTCTCCTTCAAGGAGTACTTGCACATGACCCAGTAAACATAAGTATTTATACCAGACTCAGGGACTTCATCTTTTAGCCTTCATCTTTAATGTCACAGTGTTAAATGCCTAGTTTATATATTTAGTGTTAGAGCCTTTCTCTTGTACTTTCCTTTTGTCTAACTAAATTCTAAATTGCTCTTTTTAATCCAATTCTTTATACACACACACACACACACACACACACACACACACGTCACTAGTGGAAGTTAATCTAATTTCATCATCCCTTTTTCTTTATTTTTTTCCTGAATTTATATTTTAATTTACAAATAAAATTACATATATTTATATTTTACAGCATGATGCTTCGAAGTATGTATACATTGTGAAATGGTTAAATCAAGCTAAAAAACATGTGCTTTACTTCACATTCTTCTTTGTGGTAAACATAATCTGCTGTCTTAGTAATTTTCAAGTATATAATGCATTGTTTGTAGTTACAGTCTTCATGTTCTGCAATAGGTATTTTGGACTTATTCTTTCTATCTAACTGAAAGTTTTTACACTTTGAACAACACTCGATTTTAACCACCCCCTAGCCCCTGTTCTTTCTATAAATTTGGCTTTTTAAAAAATTCTATTTTGTTATATATGATGGCAGAATGCAATTCAATTCACATTACACATATAGAGCACAATTTTTCATGTCTCTGGGTGTATACAAAGTAGATTCACACCATTCATGACTTTATACATGTACTTAGGATAATGGTGTCCATCTTATTTTTCTTCATGAAGATGTTGAACTCAAGATTTTTTGGCTGTGGTCCAGATTAAATGTTTTATGTTCTCTAGTCTTCCTAAGAAGAACTCTGCTGGAAATTGAAGTCAGTTCATATCTCTGAGTAAATTAAGGATTTTAAAAATGCCTTCTGTGCAGTTCAGTCTGGCAGGAGCAGTCGCCATCATTGGGTCAGTGGGTCTTGCTGTGGATATTTCTCGTGTGGGTTGTGTCTGTGGTGGTGGTGGTTGTGGGGTCTGTTGTCAACAATGTAAATAGCCTGAAAACATAATCAGTGTTAGCAAGTTTATATACAAAGTACATGAGTTAGGTTCCAAGAAGTAATAAGGTTTGGAAACAAAGTAAGTACACGAATTGGCAATTTCAATTTGTGATTCTGTATAGTGCTGCTAACTTGCTAAAAGATCTGCACATTAGGTTATTGGAAATAATGCCTACCTAATAAGGTGCACTGGCACTTTCCAGTGTTTTAATATTTGTCAGAGTTCTTTGTAAATACTACTAAACCTAAGGTTTCTTACTTATTAGATAATCTTTAAGATATCCATAATAGTGAGTAAAAAGTATGAAGACCATGGAAAGAATTTAAGAATAACTTAGGTTTTCAGGGACTCTAATCTCTCATTTCTCAATCTTTCAAATCAGTATCTGTTTGGAATTTGGAAACACTATCAAAACCTATAAAACTAGGTTCTAGCCCACAGTGGAAAGAGTATTTGGGACTCAAATAAGCCATCCAAGCAGTATTTAATTTTTCCAGTGTATTGTATTCATATTTTATCTTTTTGGGAGAGATGATTCTTAAATTTTGTAGTATTGTTAGTTTTTTTTTGTAGCTATTTGTGAGATGATAAGAAATTTTTAACGCTAAATTTTGTAAAGCCATCATTTTCCTGGAATTATTGTTTTTGAACACTTCTGGGTCCTTAAAAACATTTTGATGTTGATTTTTAGATTGTTTTTAAAAGTTGTTTTCATTGCATTATGATTAGACTTAAGTAATCTTAGGTAACTGAGGGATATTTTTGCTTCACTTAAGGATTTTAAAAAATATTTTGAGCAAATGAGAATTATCAGTTCCCAAAGAAGAAAATATCTGCTAATTTTTTAAAAAAAATTTTAATACTTATTTTTTAGTTTTCAGCAGACACAACATCTTTGTTTGTATGTGGTACTGAGACTCGAACCCAGGCTGCACGCATGCCAGGCAAGCACGCTACCGCTTGAGCCACATCCCAGCCCCCATATCTGCTTATTAAAATAGGTCTTTTCAGTTAGAAAATGAGCCATCCAAAATTGTAAGACAAGTGTTGGTCTAAGCATGAGTATTTCTCATTGCAAGTTGAAGGTCTAGAATTTGAGACTACCACCAACAACAAAAGAACTTCACAGGAAATTTATTGCACACGATTATGAAATCTCTCATTTTCTTTTTTAAATATTTATTTTTCAGTTGTAATTGGACACAATATCTTTATTTTATTTTTATGTGGTGCTGAGGATCGAACCCAGGGCCTCACATGTTCTAGGTGAGCACTCTACTGCTGAGCCACAATCCCAGCCCCTAAATCTCTGATTTTCAAGATAAATTTAGCATGTATCTACAGTATAATTAAAACTATTTTTTTCTTAGCATATAACTGTTTAAAGTATTAGCAGTAGCATATTTCTGCCACATTTTGAAATTTACATGGAAAAATCTACAAGTGTTTTCTGTCTGATATTAAGGAAAAAAGAAATCTGTATTTTTTAATAGGGACACTTTTGATAACTAAGAAGGAACAGTCTGTTAGGTGCCTGGTATGTGCCGGACAGCTGTTGAGTCTAGATTTGGTTTCCTCCCTAATGGCCTATGGAGGGCTAGAGGTGTTTACAAGTACAGTGCATGAAGGTAGTACCATATGACATTGAGTTGTACATGAAACTAGATTAATGTTTCGTTTGGATTTTCTTATGTAGCTTTGGACTTAGTAAGTTACAGTCTATACTGTTATCTCGTGTAAAATAAATCACAGTATTTATACCCTCTCTCTGTTCTTCAGTAATTAGCTGAAGTGGTGGGTCCATGTGTTTAGAGAAGACAGTCCTTTGGTAGAGGGCTCCCAAAAGTGTCTGCCATCACTTCCTCTTGCCCCCTCTCCTGTATGTGAATGCTGCTACACCCAGCTCAGCCCAAGGGCCCTCACCCTGGATAGGACTGGCCTGGTGCCTTGCACTGACTAATTAGTGGATATCATGAAAGCAACTATCTGGGATTTCCAGACTGTGGGCTTAAGAGAACCGGTATCTGTCTCTACTTCTGTCTTTGGAGCCAGCCATAAGGTGAAAGGTCTAGCTATCCTGCTGAAGAGAGGCTGCCTATGATACCAGAGGCCATTGTGGATGTTTCAATCCAGCCAAGTTTCTAACCAACTCAT